AATTGAGTTTTAACGATTCAAAAAAGGGCGGGTAGCCCCGGACAGTAATTTTTTTACTTATTTTATTCACTTTGCTGTTAAATATTCTTATAAATGTTGCAAATAATATTATATCATTCATTATTATGTTATTAAGTATTATATATTTATTATTATGAGTCTTCCTCGAAAGTTACTTCACAAACTAGTGTCTTGATGCTATTCTTTTTTCTTTGTTGAATCTATGGGGAATATTAAGACGTTCTGCCAAATCAAAAGCTAGTTTTAAAAGCTCTGTTCTAGTCAATGGCATTATCCGATTGTCCCATTGTTTCACGTGATTAAAAAGTTGCCATGAAAATTCCTCATTAAAAGTTAAGTCAAAGCGACCTAATTTCGGCTTAAGAATTATTTCTTGACCGCTTTTTATCTTGTAAAGAACTACGCGGCACGTTATATTTTTCAGTAGCTAATCTTATTAATAATTCACCGTTCATAACGACGTGATCAACAACGCGACCGCGCGAAAAGAAAAAACGTACGTGTACCTTCTTCCTTTGCTGTTTTATCAGAAACTGACGAGGATACGTTAAAAAAGGACATCCTCTCGGTTTTAGCGATCGAACATTCCCCCGTCGTCTGATTTCCAGCCATTGAATTGTTCGTTGCAACGAGAAGAGGTAACGTGGCACACTTCTCTTCGTGCGTAATTACCACTTGCTCTAAATTCAACCCGACCGTTCTTTTGTTCAATATCAAACTCGGATTCGTGGCAGATGCAACGTGCACAAAGTTCGTCGGCGATGAGATTTTTAGGAATTTGAATTCTTCGCGGGAGAGACTCCTCGATCTGTACCTAGAGTTACAATTTACTCGAGCCCCTAGGTTCGAGTCAATCGATGATGCTTTCAATGAACTCAATGACACACTCAGATTGCTTTTTTTCTTCTGCCTTCTCTTTGGTCCTTTCACGAGGTACTCTGGTACTACAAAATGCAACACGTTTTTGGCAAAGTGCTTTTTCTTTTTCCCACACTTCAAATTCTCGTTAGAAAACAATCTTTCCGGTAATTCTTCCTCTGAGAACGTTTCGATTAAGTACCCTTCGTCACAATCAGCCAGTCTCGTATCCGAAGAACTCTTTGATTTCACCAATGCATCTGTCGAGCACAAAGATTTTTCCTCGTTTTCGAGACTTGTGTCACACTCCTTCCGCTTCCTTTCCTTCCGAACATCCCACCACGCGTTTCTTCCACCCACCGATTCTATCCTCTCGTAATTATCCCACGGAGATTCCTTTTCCCTTTTACAACTTGAACATCCCCTGATATCGTCGTTCGTCGAATGACAATTATCGAAATCGCGTTCAATTTTCATGGTTTCTCTGATCACAGGAGTCTCCCTATCTTCCGCTTTCGCTTCGACTCTTATCAAAGTTACACCGATATCGTTGTTATCGGTGCTTATACTCTGCAAGTACGCAACATCAACGACAGTTTTTTTTCGATCATGTTGCTCAACGGCAGCCCTGGAATCCTCTTTGCTATTTTTCCATCTGTTTTCCTGAGACTCTGTTGGCTTCGTCGAGGGTACGAGTAACAAGTATTTTGGATGGTGTTTCGATGACAAACTGGTCGCAACGTCGATCTGGGCGAAACGTTTCGTGCGATTCGTTCGTTAGTTTAATACGCGTAGATACGATACACGTACATACATATACATATACATGCTCTAGCTAAGACACTCATAACGGTTTTGCGGAAACGGTTTCGTGGAATGCGATAGAAATCGTAACTGTTTCAAAGGCGATCCCGTCGTTAGTGCTACGTCGAGTCACGATTTCTAGAGGAACAAGCAACACCAGTCGTCGCAACACTCGATGACAGATGGAAAACTTTCCAACAGAGAGAGATCGACGAATTAAGTGCATACTTGAAGCGGTTCTACGCGACTAGAACCGAAGATCTTGCTAAATCCATGAAAAGGACAAGATTTGCAATTTGCCACTCGGATTCTTATCGAACATCGAGCAACGAGCAACGATCATTGGAAGCTAACAAGCCACTCCTCTACTATTAACATCGTTTCACTCGCGTACTCGCACCCAGCACCGCGACGGGATCTCGTGAAATACCATTTCTCGCGTTTTCGCGACACGAGCAAACATTCATTTTACTCAAAGAATAATTAATGCGCGAACCTTCAAACTGGACCTCCTGGCATCGGCATCGGCATTCGTTAGCCCCTTTGTTCCTTCGGTTGTGACGTTGTTATTATGAACGGGTAATAATTGCAGAGGCAACGTTGCTCTCTTCAAAGCCAGACTATCGAGAGTTGCGTAGATGATCTTATCCGGTGACTCTCCGGTAGGAAATGCTTTCTGATCTCCATGGAGAAAACTCCTGTTGGCAACTGGTGAAAGACTCATTCTTCCGCTTCTTTGCACGATATACGTATATATGTATGTACCTATTATACACAAATTAATTCTGTCCATAGAGAAAGGTGTACACTTAACTCTGATGCGATCATTGGGTCTTCCGCTTCTTTGCACGATATACGTATATATGTATGTACCTATTATACACAAATTAATTCTGACCGGTCCATAGAGAAAGGTGTACACTTAACTCTGATGCGATCATTGGTAATGTCACGCAGCTGGCCACGCGTTCACCGCTTTCTTTCACCCCTCAGGCTAACAATCGACCATTTCAACATAATAATTGTAGCACCACCTATAAAGACTTTGTCTCGGCTAGGCAGCGATAACGATAGAAACGATAGAAACACGCGCGATCCGTTATCAGACACCGCGAAACACGCGCACGCCTCATCCAATTCGATCGGATTTACCTACCGCCACTCTCTTTCGGCATCACGCTCCTCGTGCACAACTCTTTTCTTTCACTGTCAGCAAAAGTCTTCAATATTATACGATACGATTCGATCGGTAACGATGGCCAGCAAACGTTAATATCCTTGATACGGGTCAGGAACGAATTGCGATTAAGTGCGAACGTGGCCTCGTTGTACGTTTGCCGCTCGATTGAGTAAATACCGTAGAGATCGCGATTCAAGATATTAACAACAGCTAACACTGTTTTTCGTCGTGACGTTCAAAAAGATGCATCAGGCGTCTCTTAACCGAAGATTTGTCAATTTTCAGTCCTTGTGCACGTTACCCGAGTCATCGCAGTTTACAAAACGAACGATAAACGGAACCACAGTGACAAAAATATTTTAGTTCTCCTCAAACTTCCGAATCGAATTATATGTACTTACTTATATTCTCGATTCTCTTTTTAACACATCCTTAACTTCACACGTTTCTCACTTCGATTTTCTTTCCATATATTATTTATACAACAATTATTGAACAATCTCACAAAGCTTACACGGCATTCAACACGCAACAAACGAATTGACGTTATTTAACAAGGCCACGGTTACACATTTGTCACTTACAAGCGTGTTTATCAATACACGATACATGCCGCACTCTCATCGATACGCGCTTCGCAGATCAATCACAAACGCGACCACACTAATTTTACTGGCTACGCGCACCTTTCTCCTGTAACGTGAAACACTGTGGCGATTGAGCCGATCGCCGATCGTCGATCGTGTGACAAATCACGCATACTACGGTGAACTTTTAAACCACTTCACTCTGCCACCGCGCGACCACGATCCCGCGTGTACGGAAGATCGGTCGTCTCCGCCGGTTTTCGTCGCTGCTCGTTAACCACTGCCGTATTCCTACAATTATTCACCCTTATTTTCCTACTTTCCTACTTTCATCCGGGCCACTCGCTCCAAATTTTATCCTACTGTATTTTTCCTACTAGGAACACCAGCGATTTATGAGATAGAGCTTCCTTGAGCTAAATTCTTTTCAATTTCCATCGAGACGAATTGCTTTTATTCAACGCGCACCCACTAAATAATTCCGCATTCTTTCTTTCAGATTTCTCCCCCTGTGTTTTTCTAAATCCCGACCATTCAGCATGCTTACTGTCCGGTAGAATTGCGCGCGCAACCAAACATTCTAAATAATAGTATATGTCTAACAAGGGAACTTCGGTAACCCGAAATGTCCGATTTGTTTGAAACTTTGTGGGTTTGTAGGGGACCTCGAGAAAAGTATATCGGGCAATATTTTTATCGGCCCAATTTCGGATCTTCGGGGTGAAAACAGCCCTTGAATGAAGATAAGTGTACCCTATTTCCCTGTATATCTTTAAAACTATAGTAGATGTAAAAAATTGTTTATAATAAAAATTAAATGGCTTTTTATGCCTTATAAGACTATGCTATTAAATTAATAAAAATTCTTTTTTTAAATAAAAAATCTTCCACTACCGTTGTGAAAAATTTTTAAGTTTTTCTATCATATCGAAAAATATGTCAAATAAATGCAAATAAATACCAAAGTACCAAAAATAAGATAAAAAAAAATACCAAAGATTCGTACACATACTTGGTACCTGATAACGCATCGTTCCAAGTGCGACGATGACAGCACACAAAGCACGTACAATTAAAATTATTTAAATATCACATTATTCGATAAGACTAACATATTTATCTGCAAGACATTTAATTTTTATTATAAACATTTTTTTATATCTACTATAGTTTTAAAGATATACAGGGAAATAGGGTACACTTATCTTCATTCAAGGGTTGTTTTCGCCCCGAAGAACCGAAATTGGGCCGATAAAAAAATTGCCCGATACTTCTCTCGAGGTCCCCTACAAACCCACAAAGTTTAAAAAAAATCGAACATTTCGGGTTACCGAAGTTCCCTTGTAAGAACTTCATATCTATAATAAATTCTAATCTCATTTCGAAATTTCATGAACTTTTCAAATTTTCCAGATGTGTTTTCAAACACGGCCCTGAGAAGCAGGTATTCCCGTGTAACGCGAAACCAGGGAGAGTCGAAACGATGCATCAGGTAGTCGAGAATACCTACATTCTTGCGCAGCTGTCTTGGATGATGATGTGGCAGGTTGGCCCCATTCTTTCCTTGTCGTTTCCATCGTTTTGCACTTCGAATCGTCAGATTCGAATCTTCCATGAAATGTTTTTTCCAAACACGCCAACACTTTTTAATTACTAAATTCATTATTAAAATTGAAACTCGAATGAAATATGTTTAGAATTGGAAAGTAAAATATTGTACTTTCGACTTAAAAGTTCAAAGAATGGAATATTCGTGTATAGCTTACGAAACAAAATATGTAGCTGTAAAGTGACGATGAAAAATCGTACAAGGTTCGAAACTTGAACAGTGATCGAATTTATCCTCTTTTTACTGGGCTTGTATTTATTATACGTTTATCATTACGAGACATAGAGTTGGTAGATAAATGGGAGGGGGGATATTTATCGATGTATAAGTAGATCCGTTGATCAGTAGTCATTAAGCGAACGTTACTAGTAATACTGCACAAAAAGGATGTCCCTCGATTAGGTAATCACGATTCTATAATTATCATGTATCCATTACTTTTCATGGTCGACATATATTTCATGAATCCTTAAAAAAAGAAATCGGTACATAATATCATTATCCTCTACACAAGGAAGAATTTCAACAAAAATTCTTTTTCACATTTCCTTTTTCTTTTACTGTAGGGTAACATTCTCTGCTGCATTTAATATCTTTACTTACCATCGGACTTTTTTTCTTTAATAAAGGTTCTAAAAAAACAGAATCGTGTTGACTTTCTTTTTAACCTCAAATTCATCGTATCTACCATTCCATCATACCTGTTCATTTTGGATTCACAATAATATCGTACTTGTTATCGTTGACAATTTTAATATTTTGCGTAATTATCATTTATAAATATTACGTTATCGATTAATATCATGATAATATTATTATACAGACAATAAATTATTAGTTACAGATATATCTATAACTTTATTCAGTTATGAAAAATTTATGCGTGAACGATACCTCTTCATCAGGTAACGCAACCATGCAAATGTGAAATAATTATCTAATTATTTCGCAAAGTCATATGTTCTAGATTATTTTTTGTAACATTCGTATATGAAGAAAAATCGAATAACTAGGGATACAAGAAAATAACAAAATTTAAATACCAAGGAAAATATCATTACTATGAGTATCAACGGTAAAACGTGTACGTAATTTTATAGAAATTTGAAGCAGCAGTGGAAGCTGTAGAAAGCCTTTGGAAAAGTCCTAGGTACAAAATATTTTTACAACTATATGTATTATTTAAACAAGCAACGGTGGGCAATATTGACACTCTAAGTATGTAACCATTCTGATTTATATTAGAAAACAAAAAACTGTGCGAAATTCTAGTACATAAAATTTTCTACAACTATTTTGTAATATAATTATAACAAACCCCGGCGTCTTGGTTATAAAGGGAAGGGTTAACAATAAGTGGGACGTGTGGAAATCGAAGGAAGACGTGTCACAAAATGATGCGAAAGAAGCGTACATTATGTTCGTGAATGCATTGTTGGAAGAATACACATAATCTGCATAACTGCTTATTAAGTGTGTTTATTGTAAACAAATACTTTGAAATACAAATGTGATTTACCCAATTATTCCTTTTCTAACTTCTATTTAATTTGAAATCTAATCATTGATTACTAATTTTCGATGTAATACGTGTTCCTACGTTCGCGCGTTTTTTAAGTGTAGTCGACCAATGTGTCGTTGCAATCGCTCACTTAATTCACCAACCCACAGACCATCTATCTGTTCAATTCGATTCACACACGTAATTTAAAGGGCTGATGCACGCGTCATATTCTGTAGAATGTCGATGTTAATGGACAAATTCGGAGGGTAAAAGTTTTACATTTCACTTACTAATGGGTACGTGCTATGTTTGATATCGTACAAAAATGATTATCTCAGCTTTAAATAATGATACAGTAAAACTCCTAACAACCACTCAAGTTATAACTTCGATATCTAGTGCTACAAAGGAACTAATAGAAAATGCATTGGATGCTGATGCTAAAAATGTCGAGATTAACTTGGTATTTCGTTATTCTTTTCTTTCTACAAAATATTTTGTTTATTACATAATTTCATATTATACAAGTTCCAATATAATATTATATTTTCAATTACTAGACAGATAATGGATGTACCTTAATAGAAGTGAAAGATGATGGTTGTGGTATTTCTAAGTTAGATGCTCCTTATGTTGCTTTATCATCATATACATCTAAAATTCGTGACTTTTCTGATTTAGGTATACAATTATATCATGAAAAAAAATGTGTAATATATAATAACAATAATTTAAAGTGTAAAATAATAATCGTATTATTATTTGTAGCTATTTTAAAAACATATGGATTTCGTGGTGAAGCTCTGTGTGCATTGTGTGCAGTATCAGATGTTACAATCATATCAAAAGCAGAACAGGATGAAGCTGGTGTATCCTATACTATTAATCATTCTGGACATATTATAAAATCAGAATTTTGTCATAGATCTAAAGGTAGTAAACAAATGTAAAATATTATCTTCAGTTTTTAAAGCACATATAAACAGAGTGTATCTAGTAACTGGGCCGAGTGATATCTTGGTTGTTATTGAAGATAGAAACAAATTGTAGAGGTACAACTGAACAATGTGATGAAAAATGTGTAAGAAAATGTTTAGAATGCAATGTTGGAACATTTGAACATTTACTATAGATGCTGGAAAAAGAGGTAAATATTTCAAAAAGTATTGAGTTTTTCATAATGGTACTGTAATACTTTTTTATTCACAATATCACAAAATCATAGAGTAGCATTAAAAAACAAGTGCAATTGCACTGGTGCACTTTTGTAAAAAGTTACATTACAGGATGATACAGGTTGTTCAACCATTCAAAACTTTCCTCTACAATTTTTTTGTATTTTCAATAATAACCAAGTTATAACTTGGCCTAGTTACTAGATACACCCTATATGTAACTGTGCAAGTTAGACAATTATTTAAACAAGTACCAGTGCGAAGACAAATAATTACAAATCCAAAGAAAGCTAATCAAGATATTAAGATATTGGAGTATTTAATAAAAAGTTATGCAATGTGCAAGTTTTTTGCGCGGATAACTTGTAGACTAAATAATAATGTTATATTTGCAAAACCTAGTGTAAATACTTTTGAAGAAGCAGTTACATATATCCTTGGTAAAAAGGTGACATGTAATATGAACTGGATAGACATTACAGATACAGAAGTAATTATATTTATTGTCAAATTGTAGATCTTTTTATTTAATACTTTCATTTTTTAATTACATTCTTCAGATTAAAATGAAATTAATGATACCTTTAAAGGATACATATGATTCAAACATGCTTGAAGTATTTCATTCTGGTTTGCAGTATATTTTTGTAAACAATAGACCTATTAAGCATAAGGAATTAGAAAAGGTGCATTTTTTTAGTGTCCTTTTTTCATTTTTATTAAATAATGCAGTTATAAAGTATTTAGAAATTACTTCTAGGCGTTGACTAAGACAATTTTGGAAGCATTAGGACAGGAATCATTGTCAAGAAAAAAGCCAATATTTGTTTTGTACATTTTAATAAATGCTGCAAACATAGATATTAATCTAGAACCAAATAAAACTTCTATTTTATTTAAAGATCAGGTAATTGTAAATATAAGATAATTAATTGTATATTATTTCAAAAATGTATATTATGTTTATTGTACAGAATATAATCATCAACACAATAGAAAAGTACCTAGAAAATTTTTATGGAATTCAAAGAGAAGTACAACAAGAAACAAATTGTGATATTTCTTTTGCTAGTTACCAAGATTATTCACAAAAAGCAAATATTAGTAATGCTGAAAATGAGTTGCCTGCATGTAAGAAACAAAAATTAAACACAGGAGGATGTGTTGAAAAACTTATTGGAAAGATCGTAAATGTCGATGAAAATGCAGCAAACAATTTAAATTTTAATGGAACTAATAATTTTGAACGTGTAGAGCAAGTGCAAATTTCTACAAATGGACAAATTCATCAAGACAAAAATGCTAAAAAGTGTGAACAAAATGTAGAAAAATTCAATACTCAATCTTTAAATTTATGCAATTCAGGTTCAAATGATTTGCAAAATGTTACATTGATTTATAATAATAATAATTCTTCTTGTATTTCAGTGTTAGTACTTTAGTTATAGAATATCATGTACGATAGTCTAATTATTTTTAATATACTTTGTTTTTGTATAGTGATACATCTGCAAAAGGAGATACCGAAGATAGTCCGCCTTTTGAACTAACGCCAACTGTTGAAACACTCAGTCAATTACCAATTGTAAATTTGGGCAATGGTTTTGAATGGGATAACTGTTCCACTATAGATACGGATGAGAAAGAAAATAAAATACAAAATACAAATTTCGAAGTTTCAGATAAAGAAAATAAACTAAATATGAAAAACCGTGTTCTATTAAATGAATGGAGTAAGGGTCATGTGTTTGGTTTGAAGGTAAAACGCACAAAGAATTTAATGCAGTGAACTTATCAAGAATCATATGAAATACATTTAAGTTAATTTCAATAGGGTGGTACGAATATAGAATCTTCTAATTATATAGAGCCAAACGAATTAGTAAATGTTGATACACATGGAAATGTATGTCATGGTTTTCTTAAATTTTCAAAAAATGTTAGGACACAAGGTAAATTAGTATAGTATACACCTTAATTTATTGTACGTAGTATATAACAAACATTACATACAAAATCGATATTTTCATTTTTAGTTATGGAGCAAAATCCTACAATGACAGCACCTCAAGCTGCCCATATAATAACTAATCTGTGGAAAAAATTGTCACCTGAAGAACGTGGCTTTTATAAAGATCTCGCACGTGACGAGAAATCAGAATATGATATACAAAAGCAAAAAATGAAAGACAAATGTACAATAGATATCAACAAAAACAAAAATAGACTATTAAAGGCATTGGAAAAAATGAAAGTAATGAATCTTCAAGAAAAAGAAAATTCAGAAACGAGAACTGTTGTACCTTGGAATGTAAATTTAAAGAAAGTTACTGAAAATTTTATAGATAAGTAAGTTGTTAAGGTTCCTAGATGTATATGATATCATTTATTATTACTTAACATTTAATATGAATATTGCAGTCCTTTATATGAAAATACCAATTCTGTTGTTGGTCTTATGTGTTCAAATTTATGGATTGTTCACGAATCCGCGCATATTTGGATTGTAGATATTAGGATGCTTAGGAAAGAATTACATAAACCTGATAAAAATACAAATGAGGTAAATCTGTTAATGAGGTATAAAATATATAACATTGTTGCTGCCTTTGATCATTTCTTACATAAATTCTCTCGATTATAGAATATTGCTGAGAATATTGAACAACTTCTGCATCAGTGGTTTTCAATAAAAGATGATCTGTCATTGTTACATCCCATTTATTCATTAAAACAAATTAGAAATATTTCTTAAATTATAATATTATAATTGTTATT